AAGTAAAAGGGGGGAAAAGAAAAAAGGGGGAAAAAGTGGCAAAAAGGGGAAAGAGGTGAAAAAAAGAAAAAATGGGGGGAGGAAAAAAGGAAAAAAAACGGAAGGGAAATGAGGGGGAAAAAGGAGAAAAAGAGGAAAAATAGCAAAGAAAAAGGAAAAAATGGGATAAAAAGAAGGAAAAATGGAAAAGGAAAAAAGGAAAGAGGGGGAAAAGGGGAAAAAAGGGGGAAAAGGAGGAGAAAAACCTTAAAAAAATAAAGGAGGTGAAGGAGAGGAAGGGAAAAGAAATGGGAGAGGGGGAAAGAAATGGAAAAATAAGGGGGAAAAGAAAGGGAAAAAAGGAAAAAGGAAAAGGAGAAGAAAATGGGAAATGAAGGGGAAAAAGGAAAAGAAATGGGGGAAAAAAAGGGAAAGGAGGAAAAGGAGAAACGGGGGAAGGAAATGAAAGGAAAAGGGGAAAAAAGGGGAAGAAAAAGGGAAAATCGAGGAGAGAAAAAGGAGAAAAGAGGGGAAAAAGGGAAAATAAAAGGGAATAAAAGAATAAAAGGGAAAGAAATGGGAGAGAGGGAAAAAGGAAGGAAGGAAAAGGGAAGAGGAAGGGGAAAAAGAAGGGGGGAGAAACAGGGAGAAATGATGGGAGAAGGGAAAATAGGGGGGAAAAGGGGGAAATAAAGGGGAAAAGGATGAAAAAAGAGAAAGAAAAGGGGGAGGAAAGAAGGAAAGGAAAAGGGGGAAAATGAGGGGAAAAGGAGAGGAAAAAAAGGAGAGGAAAAAAAGGAGAGGAAAAAAAAACAGGAGAAAAAATAGAGGAGAAAAAAGAAGAGGAAAAAGAAAGAGGAAAAAAAAAGAGGAAAAAAAAGAAAAGGAAAAAAAGAGGAGAAAAAAGAAGAGGAAAAAAATAGAGAGAAAAAATAGAGGACAAAAAAAGAAGAGGAAAAAAAGAGGGAAAAAAAAGGAAAGAAAAAAGAAGAGGAAAAAAGAGGGAAAAAAAGGGAAAAAAAAAGAGGAAAAAAAGAGGAGAGAAAAGAAGAGGAAAAAAAAGAGGAGGAGAAAGAAGAGGGAAAAAAATGGAGAAAAAAAATAGAGGAGAAAAACAGAAGAGGAAGAAAAAGAGGAAAAAATGGAGGAAAAAAAGAAGAGGAAAAAATATAGAAAAAAATGGAGGAAAAAAAGAAGAGGAACAAAAAAAGAGGAAAAAAATAGAGGAAAAAAGGATGGAAAAAAAGAAGAGGAAAAAAAAAGAAGAGAAAAAAAGAGGGAAAAAAAGAAGAGGGAAAAAAGAGGAAAAAAAAGAAGAGGAAAAAGAAGAGGGAAAAAAATAGAGAAAAAATAGAGGAAAAAAAGGAGAGGAAAAAAAGAAGAGGAACAAAAAAAGAGGAGAAAGAAGAAGAGGAAAAAAAAATAGAGGAAAAAACAGAAGAGGGAAAACAAAGAAGAGGAGAAAAATAGAAGAGGGAAAAAAAGAGGAAAAAAAATAGAGAAAAAAATAGAGGAAAAAAATAGAGGAAAAAATAGAGGAAAAAAAAGGAGAGGGAAAAAAAAGAGGAAAAAACAGAAGAGGAAAAAAATATAGAAGAAAAAAGAGGAAAAAAAAGAAGAGGGAAAAAAAAGAAGAGGAAAAAAAAAAAGAATTCCTATAAAGCTGGAAAGAAAACTGAAATCGATAGAAAATGAAATACAAGGGGGGGGGGGGGTCCCCATTGCCGCCCCAATGTGTCCCCAAATGTTGTTTTTGGGGGGGTCAGGTGGGACCCACAGACACACAGACACACAGACAGACCCACAAACAGACCCACAGACCCACAAACAGACCCACAGACCCACACACAGACCCACAGACAGACCCACAGACCCACAGACACACAGACACACAGACAGACCCACAGACACACACACAGACCCACACACAGACCCACAAACAGACCCACAGACCCACAGACAGACCCACAGACCCACACACAGACCCACAAACAGACCCACAGACACACAGACAGACCCACAGACCCACACACAGACCCACACACAGACCCACAGACACACAGACAGACCCACAGACCCACACACAGACCCACACACAGACCCACAGACCCACACACAGACCCACAGACACACAGACAGACCCACAAACAGACCCACAGACCCACAGACAGACCCACAGACTCACAGACCCACACACAGACCCACACACAGACCCACAGACCCACAGACCCACACACAGACCCACAGACCCACAGACCCACACACAGACCCACACACAGACCCACAGACCCACAGACCCACAAACAGACCCACCCACAGACCCACAGACCCAGAGGCGCGATAAAGCACACCGCAATTACAATCTGCGTCGTTAACAAACGGCTCTATGTAATATCTCTCTCTTTATAGGTCTGTACACTCTGCCCGGGACCCCCGGAACGACCCCCACCCCTCCGAGCCCATCCCCCCCCCCCCTTTTTTCCCCTCCCCCCCCTTCCCCCTTCCCCCCATCCTCCCCCTCCCCATCGTCCCAACGGTGAGCAGGAGGCACTTCGCTCAATGGGACGCGTTGGGATCCAGAAATGGGTTCTGAGGTTGGGGGGGGGGGGGGGGGGGGGGGGGAAGGGTCAGGAGGTCCCCAAGGGGGGAGGGAGGAAGAGGAGGAGGGGACAACTCATATGGGACCAAATGGAGCGGGAGGTGGTGGTGGTGGGTTCTCGTATGGGATGATACGGACCAGAAAATGGTGGTGGGGGGCTCCTATGGGACCGTAGGGACCAGAAGGTGGTGGTGAGTTCCCATAGGGGACCAGCAGGCGGCGTTGGTGGCGTATATGGGACCAGCAGATGGTGGAGGGGGCTCATATCTGACCATATGGACCAGGAGATGGTGGTGGGAGCTCATATGGGACCAGGAGGTGGTGGGGGGTTCTGATACGGGACCATCAGATGGTGCTGGGGGTTCTTAAAGGACCAGGAGGTGATGGTGGGTTCTCATATGGGACCTAAAGAGGGTGATGGGAGCTCATATGGGACCATATGGACCGGAAGATGCTGGTGGGAGCTCATACAGGACCAGCAGATGGTGGTGGGGGCTCATATGGGACCATAAGGACCAGCAGATGGTGGTAGGTTCACATATGGGACCAGAAGATGGTGGTGAGTTCTCATATGGGACCAGGAAATGGTGGTGGATTCTCATATGGGACCATAAGGACCAGGAGATGGGTGGTGGGGACTCATATGGGACCATATGGGAGCTCACATGGAACCATATGGACCGGGAGCTGGTGATGGGTTTTCATATGGGACTGAGAGATGATTTTGGGGGCTCATATGGGACCATATGGACCAGGAAATGGTGGTGAGAGCTCATACGGGACCAGCAGATGGTGGTGGGTTCTGATATGGGACCATATGGGAGCTCACATGGAACCATACGGACCAGGAGATGGTGGATTCTCATATGGCACCAGCAGATGGAGTTGGGGGCTCACATGGGACCGTATGGACCAGCAGATGGTGGTGGGTTCTCATATGGGACCATAAGGACCAGGAGATGGTGGTGGGTTCTCATATGGGACCATATGGACCGGGAGCTGGTGATGGGTTCTCCTACGGGACCAGCAGATGGTGGTAGGGGCTCCCATGGGATCATTTGAACTGGGAGTGGTGGTGGGTTCTCATATGGGACCAGAAGATGGCGATGGGAGCCAATATGGAACCGTATGGACCAAGAGATGGTGAGGGGAGTTTCGTATGAGACTATACGGACTGCAAGATGGTGCTGGGAGCTCATATGGACCAGGAGTTGGTGGTGGATTCCCATTTGGAACCAGAAGAACCAGGAGAAGGTGGTGGGGGCTCATATGGGACCATATGGACCAGGAGACGCTGGTGGATTCCCATTTGGGACCAGAAGGTGGTGGTGGGTTCCGTATGGTTCCAGTAGCAGCAGGAGATGGTGGTGGGGGCTCATATTGGACCGTAACGACCAGGAGATGGTGGTGGGTGTCCATATGGGACCTGAAGGACCACGAGATGCAGTGGGTTTTCATATGGGACCTTAAGGACCAGGAGATGGTGGGGGGGGCTCATATGGGACCATATGGACCGGGAGATGGTGGTGGATTCCCATTTGGGACCAGAAGGTGGTGGAGGGTTCCATATGGCTCCTGTAGCACCACGAGGTGGTGGAGGGGGGGCTCATATTGGACAACAAGGACCAGGAGATGGTGGTGGGGGCTCATATGGGACCTTAAGGACCAGGAGATGGTGGTGGGACCTCATAGGGGACCTGAAGGACCAGGAGATGGTGGTGGGGGCTCATAGGGGACCACATGGACCAGGAGATGGTGGTGGGACCTCATAGGGGACCACATGGACCAGGAGATGGTGGTGGGGGCTCATATGGGACCTTAAGGACCAGGAGATGGTGGTGGGACCTCATAGGGGACCACATGGACCAGGAGATGGTGGTGGGGGCTCATATGCAACTAGAAGGACCAGGAGGAGGCGGTGGGTTCCATATGGCTCCAGTAGGACCAGGAGATATTGGGCACTGAGAGGGGTCCAGAAGGACCTGGAGATGTTGAGGGACCATACGGGAATGTAAGGACCAGGAGGAGGTGGTGGGTTCCCATATTGGTCCAGAAGGTCCAGGAGATGGTGGAGGGTTCCAAGGTGGGTCCAGAAGACTGGGGGAGGGGGGGGTTTTGGGATGGATCCAGAAGGAGCAGGAGATGCTGGGTGTTCACACAGAACCATGAGGACCAGGAGAGGACAGCGGGTTCCACTATGGGCCCAGAAGGAGCGGGAGGAGATGGAGGGATCCCGTAGGGGGCCAGAAGATTCAGGAGGTGGTGGCTTCCGAGATGAATCCTGAAGAACTGGGAGGAGGTGGAGGTGAGACGGGTCCTTCGGGTGCTACTGGGGATCCCCCAGGTGGAGGTGATGGGTCCTTCAGGTCCCACTGGTCCTTCAGGTCCTATTGGTGGTCCTACGGGTGGAGAGATCGTCCTTCAGATCCCACTGGTGATGCCACAGATCCTCCTGGGGATCCCATGGGTGGAGATGTGTCCTCCAGATCCCACTGGTGGTGCCACAGGTCCTTCAGATCCTATTGGTGGTCCTATGGGTGGAGAGATGTGTCCTTCAGATCCCACTGGTGGTCTCATGGGTCCTTCAGCTCCTACTGGTGGTCCCACACGTCCTTCAGCTCCCACTGATGATCCCACAGGTCCTTCAGATCCCACTGATGGTCCAACACATCCTTCAGCTCCCACTGATGATCCCACAGGTCCTTCAGATCCCACTGATGGTCCCACAGGTCCTTCAGATCCCACTGATGGTCCCACAGGTCCTTCAGATCCCTCTGATGGTCCCACAGGTCCTTCAGCTCCTACTGATGGTCCAACACATCCTTCACATCCCACTGATGGTCCCACAGGTCCTTCAGCTCCTACTGATGGTCCCACAGGTCCTTCAGCTCCCACTGATGATCCCACAGGTCCTTCAGATCCCTCTGATGGTCCCACAGGTCCTTCAGATCCCACTGATGATCCCACAGGTCCTTTAGATCCCACTGATGATCCCACTCATCCTTCAGCTCCCACTGATGGTCCCACAGGTCCTTCAGATCCCACTGGTGATCCCACTCATCCTTCAGATCCCACTGGTGATCCCACAGGTCCTTCAGATCCCACTGATGGTCCCACAGGTCCTTCAGATCCCACTGGTGATCCCACACATCCTTCAGCTCCCACTGATGGTCCCACAGGTCCTTCAGATCCCACTGATGGTCCCACAGGTCCTTCAGCTCCCACTGATGGTCCCACAGGTCCTTCAGATCCCTCTGATGATCCCACAGGTCCTTCAGATCCCACTGATGGTCCCACAGGTCCTTCAGGAGCTGAAGTTGACACCAAATCACCCGGTGCTTCTCCAAGGAACGGCCACCAAGACGGGACAAGACCAGCCTGCCCAGTTCCCCCAACGCCCCCAGTGACATCCTCGCGTCCTTCCCGTCCCCAAAGCGCCACCCCTTCCTCACCCAGAGGTCTTCCCCACCCCGTTCCACCATCCCTGGTGTCACCCCGAAGTCCTCCAGGTGAACACCAACCCCCAAAAAGTTCCAGTCCCTCCGTCCCTCTGGTGGGAGGCGGGCAGTGGGGTGCGGGGCGAGAACTTGGGGGGGCATTGGGGGGGGGTTGGGGAAGGGGTTGGTCGTGGGGTGATGCTATAGGACGCCCTCCATGAAGCTGGTGTCCAGGTGCTGGATGAGGACCCGCAGGAAGGACATCTCTTTGCGGGTGTTCTCGAAGATGACGCGGGGGTCGTCCGACTGACAGCGCAGGCAGTTGGGGGCCATCACCATGGCCAGGTTGTTGACGTCCATCTTGGTGACGGCCACGTTGGCCGGCTGCACGAACACCTGCGGGGGTGAAGGATCCAACTTGGTGGTGGGCTTGGGGGGAACCCAAACACGGGGCGGTGGTGGGACCCCATCCTTGGTGTGGGGTTGGGGGATCCCATACCCAGGGTGGTGGTGGGACCCCATTTTGGTGTGGGGTTGGGAGAACTCAAACCCAGGGTGGTTGGTGAGACCCCATCCTTGGTGTGGGGTTGGGGGATCTCATACCCAGGGTGGTGGTGGGACCCCATTTTGGTGTGGGATTGGGGGAACCCAAACTCTTGATGGTGGTGGGATCCCATCCTTGGTGTGGGGTTGGGGGATCTCATACCCAGCGTGGTGGTGGGACCCCATTTTGGTGTGGGATTGGGGGAACCCAACTCTTGGTGGTGGTGGAATCCCATCCCTGGTGTGGGGTCAGGGAACCTAAAGTTGTGGTGGTGGGACCTCATCCATTACGTGGAGTCAGGAGAACCCAAAGCCATGGTGGTGGGACCCCATCCCTCGTGTGGGGTCAGGGAACCCAAACCCAGGGTGGTGGTGGGACCCCATTTTGGTGTGGGGTCAGGGAACCCAAACCCAGGGTGGTGGTGGGACCCCATCCTTGGTATGGGGTCAGGGAACCTAAAGTTGTGGTGGTGGGACCTCATCTGTTGTGTGGAGTCAGGAGAACCCAAAGTCATGGTGGTGGGACCCCATCCCTGGTGTGAGGTTGGGGGATCTCATACCCAGGGCGGTGGTGGGACTCCATTTTGGTGTGAGGTTGGGAGAACTCAAACCCAGGGTGGTGGGACCCCATTTTGGTGTGGGGTTGGGGGAACCCAAACTCTTGATGGTGGTGGGATCCCATCCTTGGTGTGGGGTTGGGGGATCTCATACCCAGCGTGGTGGTGGGACCCCATTTTGGTGTGGGATTGGGGGAACCCAACTCTTGGTGGTGGTGGGACCCCATCCTTGGTGTGGGGTCAGGGAACCTAAAACTGTGGTGGTGGGACCTCATCCATTACGTGGAGTCAGGAGAACCCAAAGCCGTGGTGGTGGGACCCCATCCCTGGAGTGAGGTTGGGGGATCTCATACCCAGGGCGATGGTGGGACTCCATTTTGGTGTGAGGTTGGGAGAACTCAAACCCAGGGTGGTGGGACCCCATTTTGGTGTGGGGTTCGGGGAACCCAAACACGGGGCGGTGGTGGGACCCCATCCTTGGTGTGGGGTTGGGGGATCCCATACCCAGGGTGGTGGTGGGACCCCATTTTGGTGTGGGATTGGGGGAACCCAACTCTTGGTGGTGGTGGGACCCCATCCCTGGTGTGGGGTCAGGGAACCCAAACCCAGGGTGGTGGTGGGACCCCATCCTTCCTGTAGGGTCAGGGAACCCAAACCCAGGGCGGTGATGGGACCCCATCCTTCCTGTAGGGTCAGGGAACCCAAACCCGTGGTGGTGGTGGGACCCTGTCCTTCGTGTGGGGTCGAGGAGCCCCAAACCACACAGCAGGACCCACAGCGGGGCCGGCGGGAGCCCATTCGTACCTGGAGGAAACGGATGAGGTAGCACAGCACCATTTTGTTGATCCTGGGCAGAGAGTGGACGACGGCGACGGCCGCCTCGGGGTTCTCGTAGTGGGTGATGCAGCGCTCGTAGAAGTCGTGCGGGATGAGGGGCTCCTCCAGCTCCCGGTACCACAGCTTCAGCAGCGATGCTGTGGGGATGGGGGGGAGGTGTGACACCCCAGAGTGGCATCGCCCCCCATCCCGTGTCCTCCCCACGTCCCCTCCCCCTCCCCCGGGGGTCTTACCGGGAACGTGGGGGTCCTCCAGGCCGGTGGGGATCTTCCACTGGTCCACCTGCAGCTTCAGAGCGTTGACCTCATCGATGTCGCCGGGGACTCTGTGTGGGGGGACATCTGGAGCTGCTGATGGCTCACGGCACCCCACGATGGGGCGGGTGGCACCCCAGGAGGGGGACAACCCCAACATGAACCCCAGCTGACCGTGGACATGACCGTGACCACGATACCAACGTGACCATGGGCACCAGCGTGACCACGAACCCCAACGTGATCGCAGACCTCAACGTGCTCATGGACCCCAAAATGACCAGGAATCCCAACATGGATCCCCAAATACCACAAATCCTGACGTGACCACGGACCCCAACATGAGTCCATGGTTCTTGACACGACCACAGATCCACCATGACCATAAACCCCAACATGATCCCATGGTCATGGCCATGGTTCTCGACATGACCACAAGATCCCACCACGACCATAAACCCCAACGTGATCCCATGCTCATGGCCGTGGTTCTTGACGTGACCACAGATCCCACCACGACCATAAACCCCAACATGATCCCATGGTCATGGCCGTGGTTCTTGACGTGACCACAGATCCCACCATGACCATGGACACAAACCAGACCCCATGTCCACTATTCTCCACATGATCACAACTCCCACCACGACCAGGAACCCCAGCATGACCACACATCCCCACATGACCATAAAACCCACCAGGACCCCATGGTTATGGCCGTGGTTCTTGACGTGACCACAGATCCCACCATGACCATAAACCCCAACATGACCACGGACCCAAACAAGACCCCATGGCCGTGGTTCTCAGCATGACCACAGATCCCATCAAAATCATGGATCCCAACGTTACCATGACCCCCAATGTGACCTAAACCTGAAAGTGACCACGAACCCCAATGTGACCACAGATCCACCATGACCATAAACCCCAACATGATCCCATGCTCATGGCCATGGTTCTCGACATGACCACAGATCCACCATGACCATAAACCCCAACATGATCCCATGCTCATGGCCATGGTTCTCGACATGACCACAGATCCACCATGACCATAAACCCCAACGTGATCCCATGCTCATGGCGATGGTTCTCGACATGACCACAGATCCACCATGACCATAAACCCCAACGTGATCCCATGCTCATGGCCATGGTTCTCGACATGACCACAGATCCCACCATGACCATAAACCCCAACATGATCCCATGGTTATGGCCGTGGTTCTTGACGTGACCACAGATCCCACCATGACCATAAACCCCAGCATGAACACGGACCCAAACCAGATCCCATGGCCGTGGTTCTCAGCATGACCACAGATCCCACCAAAATCACGGATCCCAATGTTACCATGACCCCCAATGTGACCTAAACCTGAAAGTGACCACGAACCCCGACGTGACCACAGATCCCACCATGACCATAAACCCCAATGTGACCACGGACCCCAATGTGACCCCATGCTCACGGCCGTGGTTCCCGACGTGACCACGGATCCCACCATAACCACAGACCCCAACATGACCACGGTGGGCATCATGTAAAGGTTTCCTTCCACCAGTGAAAGATCACCAGCTGGAGCTGCTCCTGGCCCCCGGGGCAGGAAAAAAGAAGCCTTGGGATGGGGTGCTGATGGCACCACGGGGTTTACCTGAAGATCCCTTCCGTTTGATCCCCATTGAGTGCCAACACCTCCTCGGAGAGGCGCGTTTGCACCCAGGGCAGCTGCCGGTCAGGGTAGCGCTCCTTCTGCATGGCGATGATGTCCTGCAAGGAGCTCCCAAACATGGAGGGATTGAAGACGGCGTTCTTGGCGTGGCGGATCTCCTCGATGTTGGGCTTCTTCAGGCCCTGAGGGAGGCAGAGAGGTGGTCCTGAGGTCACTGTCTTCATGTTGGGGCACTCTGATGGGAAATGTGGGATGGCGGGGGGAAGGTCCTGCTCATCATGATGGGATGCAGAAGAGAAGATGGATGTACAGGATGTCAACGCGGTGCGATGGAGAGGATATGAGCGTGGTGGGATGCAGAAAGGATGGATCTGGAGGACGTGGGTGTAGGATGCAGAAAGGATGGATGCAGAAGATGTGAGCATGGTGGGATGGAGAGGGGATGAGCATGGTGGGATGTGGAAGGGATGGATGTGGAGGACGTGAGTGTGGTGGGACACAGAAGGGATGGATGGGGAGGATGTGAGCGTGGTGGGACACAGAAGGGATGGATGGGGAGGATGTGAGCGTGGTGGGACACAAGGGTTGGATGTGGAGGATGTGAGAGTGGTGGGACACAGAAGGGAGGGATGTGGAGGATGTGAGCGTGGTGGGACACAGAAGGGAGGGATGGGGAGGATGTGAGTGTGGTGGGACACAGAAGGGATGGATGGGGAGGATGTGAGCGTGGTGGGACAGAGAAGGGATGGATGGGGAGGATGTGAGTGTGGTGGGACACAGAAGGGATGGATGTGGAGGATGTGAGTGGTGGGACACAGAAGGGATGGATGGGGAGGATGTGAACGTGGTGGGACACAGAAGGGATGGATGGGGAGGATGTGAGCGTGGTGGGACACAGAAGGGATGGATGGGGAGGATGTGAGCATGGTGGGACACAGAAGGGATGGATGTGGAGGATGTGAGCGTGGTGGGACAGAGAAGGGATGGATGTGGAGGATGTGAGTGTGGTGGGACAGAGAAGGGATGGATGTGGAGGATGTGAGTGTGGTGGGACACAGAAGGGATGGATGGGGAGGATGTGAGCGTGGTGGGACACAGAAGGGATGGATGGGGAGGATGTGAGCGTGGTGGGACACAAGGGTTGGATGTGGAGGATGTGAGAGTGGTGGGACACAGAAGGGAGGGATGTGGAGGATGTGAGCGTGGTGGGACACAAAAGGGAGGGATGGGGAGGATGTGAGTGTGGTGGGACACAGAAGGGATGGATGGGGAGGATGTGAGCGTGGTGGGACACAGAAGGGATGGATGGGGAGGATGTGAGCGTGGTGGGACACAGAAGGGATGGATGGGGAGGATGTGAGCGTGGTGGGACACAGAAGGCATGGATGTGGAGGATGTGAGCGTGGTGGGACAGAGAAGGGATGGATGTGGAGGATGTGAGTGTGGTGGGACAGAGAAGGGATGGATGTGGAGGATGTGAGTGTGGTGGGACACAGAAGGGATGGATGTGGAGGATGTGAGCGTGGTGGGACACAGAAGGGATGGATGGGGAGGATGTGAGCGTGGTGGGACACAGAAGGGATGGATGTGGAGGATGTGAGCGTGGTGGGACACAGAAGGGATGGATGTGGAGGATGTGAGCGTGGTGGGACACAGAAGGGATGGATGTGGAGGATGTGAGCGTGGTGGGACACAGAAGGGATGAATGGGGAGGATGTGAGTGTGGTGGGACACAGAAGGGATGGATGCGGAGGATGTGAGTGTGGTGGGACACAGAAGGGATGGATGTGGAGGATGTGAGCGTGGTGGGACACAGAAGGGATGGATGGGGAGGATGTGAGCGTGGTGGGACAGAGAAGGGATGGATGGGGAGGACGTGAGCGTGGTGGGACAGAGAAGGGATGGATGGGGAGGATGTGAACGTGGTGGGACAGAGAAGGGATGGATGTGGAGGATGTGAACGTGGTGGGACACAGAAGGGATGGATGTGGAGGATGTGAGCGTGGTGGGACACAGAAGGGATGAATCTGGACGGCACGGTGGGACGCAGGGGGCCACGCATACCTTCTTGGCTCCAGTGAGGGCGGCCTTCTGCAGCTTGTTGTAGCAGTACTTGGCGTATGTGCTGATGGCCACCCCTGGAAGACAGAGCGGAGCGTGGTCAGGAGGGCTCTGTGGGGCTGTGGGGTGAGAGGACCGTCGGTGGGGACATCCCTGCCCATCCTGAGTGTCCCCGGCAGTGGTGGCTCTATGGAGGTGCCACCTCCGCCTTCTCCCTTCAATTCGCAGCGCTGCAGACGTGGAGCAATGGGAAGGGACGGCCCCACTTTGGAGACAGAAAACTCTGGGACAGAACGTTCAGTTTCCATACAGCTCTGAAAATCTGGATCCATCTGTTTCTACCCCCACCTTTGATCCCCATCGATTGGAAGAGTGCTGGCAGCGCGTGGGGATGCACATCAGGGCCCCAAACCTTCCCTGATCCAGGAGGAAAATCGATGGGATCCTTCCAAACCCCCATGGCCAGGTAGGGGGGCAGGGTAGAAGGAAAGGTGACAACCAACTCCGGGAACTCCAGCACCCGACCCGGTGCTTCAGTGGGCGCTAATTAATGAGCTGTTATTAACGAGGGACCGAATGGATGCTGTGCAGCGGCCCCAGCTCTCGGGCCTGGGGACTGAACTGAGGGTCAGCGCAGATGAGGCTGGGGGGAAGCGCTGTGCTGCCTCCTCTGGGCAAAACCCATTCATTTCTTTCAGGTTTGTAATGTTCAGCTATTATTTTGTTTGATTTTCTTCATTTTACACACCGTTCATTATTTTAGATGTCATTTATAACCCTTTATAGCATTGCTTATTCTAGGGATCACCTGTTTATTACCTTACGGATCGTTCATCGTTGTGTGCACCTTTCGTTATTTTAGAGGCCATTGATTGTGGCGGATGTCATTAATTACTGCCTGGGTTATTCATTAGTTGATTTTTTTTGCAATATTTTAAAACGATTTTTAACGATATTTTAAAGGTTTTATTCTATATTAGTGCAAAGCAGGAAGCAAAGTGGGGGCTCTGCACTGAGGGCCACGGCTCTGCCCCCTCTGCATTCACCATTAGGATCACAGGATCATTAAGTGTGGAAATGATCCTTAAGATCATCAGTCTCAATTAAGATAATTAGTCGATCAAGTCCAGCCTTCTATTCAGATCAGCAGTTGATCAGCTGTCAATGAAAATTAGCAACTGATCAGCAAGTGCAGCTATCAGTGAGGATCTATTCATTATCAAGTCCGACTGACAACGAAGAGCACTAATTGATCTTCAAGTCCAACTGACAATTAAGACCAGCAATTGATCAACCATTGATGAAGGTCATCAACTGGGCATCAAGTCCAACCGTCAATTAAGATCACCGATAGGTCATCAAGTCCAACTGTCAATTAAGACCAACAGCCACTGGAAATCATTGAGTAATTATCAAGTCTGCCAACGAAGAGAACTAATAGATCATCAAGTGCAACCATTATGAAGATCACTGATTAATTAGCCATCAATCAAGATTAGCAATCGGTCATCAAGTCCGACCATCAATGAAGATCATCAGCTGATCAATGATCAGTGGAGACAGCCAACTGTCAAGAAGTCCGACCATCAATTAAGAACATCAGCTCATCAGTGATTAATGGAGGTTGCCGACCGGTTATCAAGTCCAACCATCAATTAAGATCATCAACTGATCAGTGACGATCATCACCTACTCATTATCAACGAAGATCATCAATGGGCCATCAATTCCAGCCATTAATTAAGACAATCTGTTGGTCAACTGTCAATGAAGATCAGCAGTTGGTCATCAACAAAGATCACTAATTGATCTTCAAGTCCCACCGTCAAAGAAGATCACTAATTGATCAAGCCCAACCATCAGTAAAGATCATCAATGCATCCAGTGTCAATTAAGATCCTCAATCAAGTCCGAGCATCAAGAAAGATCACTAATTGATCTTCAATGAAGATCCCTGACCGATCACCACCGATGAAGGCCATCAACTGATCATCCGACTGTCAATTAAAATCATCGGTTGATCAGCGGTTAACGGAGATCGCCAACTGGTCATGAAATCCTACCATCAATTAAGATCATCAGTTGATCAGCCATTAACGAAGATCAGAAATAATTATCTGGGGCTGATTGTCACTGAGGATCCCTTCTCCTTCTCGTGTCCGACCGCCACCGATGAGCGCTAATCGAACATCAACGCCGCTCAGCCATCAGCGGGCAGCGCCGCTGCCCACCACCTCCGACCCCAATTAAGAGAGCCGGTTAATTAGCCGCAGCCCTCTGAGCAGAGCCCTGGGAGATGGGAGCAGGAGAGAGCCGGGAAGCAGCAGCGATTCTATGAGGCCGGAGAGGGCCCAGAGCGAGCGGCGGCACTGCCCCTACCATCGTGCTCCTCGGGATGGGGCTTGGGTTTCTTTCTCAATTTGGGTTTCTTCTTTGTGTTCCTTTCCAGGAGCTCTCTAATGTGCCGTGTCACTGGGAAACAAACAAAGGCATGAGGGGTGGAGGGGTGGGATGGGAACGGAGCGGGATTGGAGCGGGTTTGGGATGGGAATGGAACGGGATTTGGAGCGGAGGGAACGGAACGGGATTGGGACGGGGAATGGAGAGGGAATGGGGTGGGAGAGAACAGAATGGAATGGGATTGGGATGGGGAATGGAGTGGGGTTGGGGTGGGAGAGAACAGAATGGAATGGGATTGGGATGGGGAATGGAGTGGGATTGGGGTGGGAGAGAACAGAATGGAATGGGATTGGGATGGGGAATGGAGTGGGATTGGGGTGGGAGAGAACAGAATGGAATGGGATTGGGATGGGGAACGGAGTGGGATTGGGGTGGGAGAGAACAGAATGGAATGGGATTGGGATGGGGAATGGAGTGGGATTGGGGTGGGAGAGAACAGAATGGAATGGGATTGGGATGGGGAACGGAGTGGGATTGGGGTGGGAGAGAACAGAATGGAATGGGATTGGGATGGGGAATGGAGTGGGATTGGGGTGGGAGAGAACAGAATGGAATGGGATTGGGATGGGGAACGGAGTGGGATTGGGGTGGGAGAGAACAGAATGGAATGGGATTGGGATGGGGAACGGAGTGGGATTGGGGTGGGAGAGAACAGAATGGAATGGGATTGGGATGGGGAACGGAGTGGGGTTGGGGTGGGAGAGAACAGAATGGAATGGGATTGGGATGGGGAATGGAGTGGGGTTGGGGTGGGAGAGAACAGAATGGAATGGGATTGGGATGGGGAATGGAGTGGGATTGGGGTGGGGGAGAACAGAATGGAATGGGATTGGGATGGGGAACGGAGTGGGGTTGGGGTGGGAGAGAACAGAATGGAATGGGATTGGGATGGGGAATGGAGTGGGATTGGGGTGGGAATGGAACAGGTTTGGGATGGGATGGAACAGAACAGAATGGAATTGGGATGGGGAATGGAGAGGGATTGGGATGGGAATGGGAAAGGACAGAACAGGATTGGGACGGGGAATGGAGCGGGATTGGGATGGGACAGAACAGGACAGAACAGGATTGGGATGGGGAATGGAGTGGGACAGGAATGGAGAATGGAATGGGATTGGGATGGGAATGGAACAGAACAGGATTGGGATGGGGAATGGAGCGGGATTGGGATGGGAATGGAATGGGGTTGGGATGGGGAATGGAGTGGGATTGGGATGGGATGGAACAGGATAGAAAAGAACAGAACAGAATCAGGATGGGGAATGGAGTGGGATTGGGGTGGGATAGAAAAGAACAGGATTGGGATGGGGAATGGAGTGGGATTGGGATGGAAATGGAACGGGATTGGGACAGGATGGAACAGAAGGGAATAGGATTGGGATGGGAATGGAATGGGATTGGGGTGGAGAATGGAGAGGGATTGGGATGGGGAATGGAGCGGGTTTAGGATGGGAACAGAACAGGATCAAACAGAATGAAATGGGATCAGAATGGGAACAGAAGGGGATCAAAATGGGGACAGAACAGGATTGGAATGGAATGAGAACAGAATGGGAACAGAAGGAGATCAGAACAGGAATGGAATAGGATTGGAGTGGGATCAAACAGAATGGAACGGGATCAGGATGGGAATGAAATGGGGACAGAGTGGGACAGGATTGGAATGGGAACAGAATGGGATCAGAATGGGAATGGAATGGGAATGGAATGGGAATGGAATGAGAATGGGATCAGAATAGGAATGGAATGGGAATGGAATGGAACAAGAATGGAATAAGATTGAAATGGGAACAGAATGGGATCAGAATGGGAACAGAACAGGAATGGAGTGAGAACAGAACAGGAACAGAAGAAGATCAGAATGGGAATGGAATGGGATCAGAACAGGAATGGAATAAGATTGGAACGGGAACAGAATGGGATCAGAATGGGAATGGAATGGAAAAGGAATGGAATAAGATTGGAATGGGAACAGAATGGGATCGGAATGGTAACAGAACAGGACCAGAAGGGGACCAGAATGGGAATGGAATGGGAATGGGAATGGAATAAGATTAGAATGGAAACAGAATGGGAATGGAATGGGAACAGAATAAGAAGCGAAAGGTATCAGAATGGGAATGGAATGGGAATGGAATAAGATTGAAATGGGAACAGAATGGGATCGGAATGGGAACAGAACAGGAACAGAAGGGGATCAGAATGGGAATGGAATGGGAATGGAATGAGAAGAGAACGGGATCAGAATGGGAATGGAATGGGAATGGAATAAGATTGGAATGGGATCAGAATGGGATTGGAATGGGAATGGGAACGGAATAGAACAGGAATGAAATAAGATTGAAATGGGAACAGAATGGGATCGGAATGGGAACAGAACAGGAACAGAAGGGGACCAGAATGGGAATGGAATGGGAATGGAATGGAACAGGAATGGAATAAGATTAGAATGGGAACAGAATGGGATCAGAATGGTAACAGAACAGGACCAGAAGGGGACCAGAATGGGAACGGAATGGAACAGGAATGGAATAAGATTAGAATGGGAACAGAATGGGAATGGAATGGGAACAGAATAAGAAGAGAAAGGTATCAGAATGGGAATGGAATGGGAATGGAATAAGATTGAAATGGGAACAGAATGGGATCAGAATGGGAACAGAACAGGAACAGAAGGGGATCAGAATGGGAATGGAATGGGAATAGAATAAGATTGGAATGGGAACAGAATGGGATCAGAATGGGAATGGAATGGAAAAGGAATGGAATAAGATTGGAATGGGATCAGAATGGGATTGGAATGGGAATGGGAATGGAATAGAACAGGAATGGAATAAGATTGGAATAGGAACAGAATGGGATCGGAATGGGAACAGAACAGGAACAGAAGGGGATCAGAATGGGAATGGAATGGGAATGGAATGAGAAGAGAACGGGATCAGAATGGGAATGGAATGGGAATGGAATAAGATTGGAATGGGAACAGAATGGGATCAGAATGGGAACAGAACAGGACCAGAAGGGGATCAGAATGGGAATGGAATGGGAATGGAATGGAACAGGAATGGAGTAAGATTGGAATGGGAATGGAATGGGAATGGAACAGGATGAAAGGAGAGGGAGTGGGGTGGGAGAAAGGAAGGGTGGAAAAATGGAAGTGGAGGGAACAGAACATAAGGCAAGAAATGAGCAATACGAAAAATGAACACGGTTAAAAAACAAAGGGGAGAAATAAAAATGAAATTACAAAAGATGAAATACGTGAAATAAAAAGTGAAAAAAAATGGAATATAAATGACATAAAACAAATATAATATAAAATAATTAAAATAAGTAATACAAAAATGAACGGATGAAATGAAAAAATGAAAAAAAAATGGACATAATGGAATCTAAAATATAATATAATAAAAAATGAATGGGAGAGATAGAAATAAATAAAAAACAATAAAAAGAATGAATAAATTAAAAACAAAGAAATGAAATTCAA